CCAGGGAGTTGGGGGACCAGGGGTGAGAAGGGGACTGCCATACTAATCACAGGGAGCAGGCCTGAGTTCTGCTTTCCAGTGACCCCAAAGAGAGGATGTGGGGGGAAGGGCCTGTGAAGCGCAACTGAGCCCGCTGCAGAGAGGGGACACCGAGTCACGGCCACCCCCTTCCCTGTGGGCCCCAGCCAGACCCAAACCCAAACCCAGACAGGCCCACCCACTGTCCGGCTGGGCTGTCTCCTACCGCAGAGCCCTGGCCGCAGAGGCGGGCAAGTAACAGGAGAGAGAGGTGGTGCGGCGGTAACCCTTAGCTGCAGGAGGGGCTGCCTGGGATGAGGACGGGGCGCCGGCAGCAGTGGCGCGGAGCAGCAGACACCTAGCCTGTCCCTCCCCTTGCTCCCGCCGCTCCCCCTCCCCGCGCACGGCAGCGGCTCTGGCCTCAGATGATCCCGCTCCCCCCTCCCCCCAACCGCAGCCCCGCACAGTCGGGCGGGCGGGCGGGCGGGCGGGCGGGCGGGCGCACTCACCGGCGGGGGGGAGCCGAGCAGAGGACGGCAGCCGCACCAGGGCCGGGGTGCCCGCAGTGCCTGTTCGCGTTGTCTCTGCCCTTCCCCCCAAGCAACAATCAAAAAGAAACCCCACACTCACCCAAAAGCCATCAACCGGCCCCCTTTGGGACCACAACTGCCTGCCTGCCTCCCCCTCCTCCTTCCGAGATTTGGGGAAGGGGGGCACCCTGCTCAAGGCTGAGCCCAACCTGGGTTGCCGGCCAGCTCTGCAGATGAACCAGGCCCTGCCGAGCCTTCAGCCCCCAACCCACTCTTCTTCCCCTCTGGAAGGACCCAGAATGGAGGAGAAAACCAAGCAAGATTTAGGAAATTCACGAACTAAAAATGTCAGGAATTTCCTGGGAAACGCAGTTCCTTACGGGTTTCATTAACGCAGGTTCGCTCGCCCCTTTTACCCCACCTCCCAGAAACTCTTTAAGTGTCAGAGCCCCCACCTCTCAAAAAGTAAAACATTAAGTGATTAATGGTTTTTAGGTGACAGCTAGGTTACCAATCACGAATTAACCAATGAATCTTCGGACAGTGACAGCTAAAGGGGGTGTCTGGTCTCCGAAAGGGGCTCGGAAATAAATGAATTCTATCTCCCTAGATCTAAGGCATAATCTGGGGCCTGTTTTCTTTCTCCTAGATACACAGCAAATGCTCATACTCCCTCCCTGCAGTCTGTAGTTCTAACAGTTGAGGGAAAGCTAAGGCCTATCTCCAGGGGAACCCCTGCCAACCCCCGTACATTCTCCTTAATCACCTTCTGCAGGGGGCTCAGGGGATACAGACCTCACAGCCTTACTCCTGGCTTTCTCAAGCATGAATTGCTGCCTCCATCCTTAGAAGAGTGTCTGTCCCATCTGTGGGCTCCATTCCCACTGGATATCCCTCAACCCCCAAAGTAAGGAGTCTTGCCTCCCTCATTCAGCCCCAGAGACAGCTGAGTACATAGTTGCACAAGTTTCCTGGAAAAGAAAGGGGTAGATCAAGTAATGATCAAGAAACCCAGACCAGTCTAGTACATAAGCCTTGTCAATGCCTGAGCCCTGAAAGCCCCCGAATATATCCTTTCATCACCTAGGCAAACCTGCCTGCTAAGTATTCACAGTTTCCCTTTTCTCTTAGCAAGGGCCCCGTTCCACCCAGCACTAGTTCCTTTGGCTCTGGGTTGATGTTAGCTACTTCCCGCTAAAGAGCAAGAAACAGGGCAAGGCACGATGGCTACCAAAGAGCAAACTCGAGTAGTCCTGTGGGAACGAGCCCCAGAACCACCCACCTGTCCAGTGGTCCCTGAAATTGTTCCCTGAAGGGGAGGCCCATTCTGAGAGACAGAAATCCAGACTTTGGGCCCCATAAAAAATTTCTCCTTAGTTGGGGGTGGGGGCATCCTCCAGTATCACATGGTACCCTTTTAGTGCTGATTTTTCTGAACTCCCTCCCTTGTCCCCAAGTCTGCAGGGAAGGGGAGAGAAGAACTGTTGGCAAACTTTAAGACCGCGCAAAATTTCAAGTGAGAAAAAGCAGTGGCTCCTCCAGGCTCACACAGTAGCGATCAGGACCCTGGATAGACCCTGGCCCCAAACTGGGACGGAAAGGCTGAGTGGCAGGGTCTCCACACAGAGCAGGGCGGGGTATTACGTTCCGAGCTGTAAAATGAGGCTAAGATCTGTTTAAGTCTGATCTAGAAGAGCCGCTGCTCTTCTTCTGGGGTTTACCTTGTGCAGAACCAAGCCCTTGCCCCTTCAAGAGAGCTCACAGCAGCAAGAAGCCCAATGGGATTTCGAAGAAGGAGCACGCGCCTGCCGGTCCCTGTCATTCTTCCACACTAATGACTGCTTCCGCCAGGACAGAAAACTAGGGTTTAAAACTGCCCATCTTCTTGGACCAACTTTAGAGTCTAAATTCCTTGCCCTCTGTTCCAAACATTTACATCCAGGGGTTCTGAAGCGGTTTGAGTTTGGGAACACCCTGATTTTCTGAAAAGGTGTCTGTCACCAGAAACTGAGTTCTTAGTTCCCCAGCGCAGAGGCAACTGACGAAGTTTCTAGACAAAACACAAATTAAATATCATTTGCATGCTTACACTGGGAATTTTAAGCCCAAATCAGCAAATGACTGAGACCTCAATCTCTCCACACATAAATATGCACTTACTTATGTTATACTATGTTATATATGTATAAAATTTCTGTCATTATATACCAGTTTCTCCCCTATTTTACAAATGTATCTAAAAGATAAACAAGGTTAGCAATGGCTTTTCCAAAATGATTCAATGATAAATTGGATATTTAGTATATTTTCACCACTCAAAAAGTTAATTTCAGGATAAGCCTGTTAACTGTGGGGCTTTGGTCAGACTAGGGAGGGCATGGTGGTGAAAGGCGGCTTTCCTTAGGCTACAGAACACAGTAGCCTTAAAAGGCAGTCTGGGAAGAATGAATATTGACTCAGAGGAAAGTCTTAAAAAGTTTAGAACCTTAAAAAGAATTTCAAAGTTAGATTTGCATCCTAACATTGAAACTCCATTAGAAAATCTGTAGATTTGAAAAGACTTCTAGCCATTTGCTAATTACCTAAATAATATACTTAGTAAATGAAAAGTCAGTTCTAGTGTCTAGCTTTTTGAATTTGTTATTTTGAAACAAACAGTTGTAAAATTAAACTGATGATTTCAATACAATGTAGGAAAGGCAAAGGGGAAACGAAATATATTAATATGCCGCAAAATATAGATGTTAATTAAAAATCGTCAAAAAATATTCCCTTTCTACTCAAAGTTTGCTTACTTTAAAAAATCTGATAAATATCTTTAGATTTCTTGTGCTCTTTTATTAATACTACACACACATTTTGAAGAGAACAGAGATTGCTTTATTTTTAATCCCACTATCTCTATGTCGTTAACAAACTCTTACCAACAAAAAATTGTTCACGAGTGAAACAAACATCAGGCAGAACAAGAAGGAAAAAAGCCTCAGTCTTCCTCAGCCTGAACTACGGGTGATTCTGAAATAATCTAATTCAGCTTTAGTCTTTAAAAGTAAAAATTAACACACACATTTATAAAATAAACTTGGAGGGAGGGGATCTACCTCTGGGTAATAAACCCTTTTGATTATGGAGTTCCCAACAGAAACAATATGCTGATTAATAGCACAGATTTCCAAAATAAAAGAGAAGCAAGAACATTAGAAATTGTGTTTTCAAGTGCTACTTAGGTTAAATGCCTGTCTTAAACTAGACAATTATATATCTTCAATACCCAAATCATTAAAACTAACTGGAATAATGTACTGCAAATGTTCAAAGTGGAGGAATTACCCATTTCTTCTCAGGGCCAACTACCAGGAAAATGAAGGGTAAAGTAAATGTTAACGTTTAACAACAACAAAGACAAATAGTAATAGTATTTCATCAATCATTTTTTTAAAAAGCATATCGTCCTTTCATAGCTCACCTAATCTTTGAAATTATGCCTCTCCAATGCTATTTTAATGTTTAAAGATATGAATTAAACATTCAAAATCTGAAGAGAACAATCCATGTGATAGAATCCTCGCACTTCACAAAATGTTTTCATTTTAAGCATTTGCAAAAGAGTTAAATAAACGTAGCACACATTCTAAATTCGATCAAAGATTCCGAGAACCCGACATTTTATGTACCCAAAAGGCCCAAACAGAACCGATGCAAATGTCAATAGCTCACTCTCTTCCGGCTGATACTTAAAAGGTTTTACTAGTACCCAAAGGAATGAAATCAGCAACTCTCCACACTCTAGTCAACACTCCAATTTTCAAAGCCGCGATTCGCAAACGTCAGTTTGGGCTGGAAGCAGTGGGGGTCTTGAAGTAATAAAAAAAAAAAATCCTTTTCTCCTCTGATAGTCTACCAAAAGATGTCAAACCAAATTCCGTCTAAAGCACTGGGACCTCCCTTCCAAGGACACGGGACACAAGCATAGGCACCGCTGCCAAAAAGCTCTCCAAAAGCACCTGGCCCGACAGAACGAATTAGAACCTTAAAGAGGGTCCCTCACAGACAGCGGAAATGAAGTGGCATTAATTCAGGGGTAGACAGCAACGAGCCAAAGAAACTTGCTCTATCCGGACTTGGGCCTTTCTCTACCCAAGTTCAGAATCAAGGCAGATATATTTGTGGGAGTCCTTTCTACAGACATCTCAGCCGCCTCCGAAACCCACTGTCGCTCAAAGGGAAGACCCTCCAGCTTCGCATCCGTTCCCTTTGCCCCCGAACAAAGGCAGAGAAGACTGTTGAGCTGACCTAGCTCCGTGGGGCAGCAAAAATGCCTTGTTCGGGCCACCCATCCTTGGGCCTGCCTTCATCTGCGATGTCAGCACCAATGTATTATTTTTTATTTTTACAACGCATCCTGGGCGGGTGTATGCATTGCGGGGGTGGGGGTTGAACAGAGAAGAGGAGGGGTTGGTAGTGAAGCCTAGAACCCTCCTTCCTCTCCCCTCCTGCCAGGGTTGCTGTGCAGGGAGTGTCGGCCACATTTGGCGCACTGTCCCAGGCCCGTGGCGAAGGTGGCCAGGGGAAATGGGGCTTAGGAATTGCTAAGCAAACGGCACCACTGGTGGTCACAAGCGTCGGCGGAGGTAGGATTCTTTTTTTTTTTTTTCTTAAGGGGCGTGTGATTTTTTCTTTTTTGGAGGTGGGAGTTCGTTCGTTCTTTCGTGCGCTACGGGGGTGGGGGGGATGTTGCTGCACTGCCAGAGTCCCCGGAGGGAGGGTGCTAGGATGTCTACAATGGTACAGTAATTATTCCTGGGGCATAAGAGGGCAATTAGAGGGGACGGGGTGGGCGGCACCTCGAGTTGTGGCAGTGGCAGCAGGGAAGGTCGCGAGGGGCTTACCCGGGCGGGCGGGCGCTGTCCTGCCGCAGGTGAGGGAGGGCGCGGGCTGGAGGGAGGGAGGGCGCGCGCTAGGCAGGCGCTAGGCTGGCGCGAGGAAAGGGGGAGGGGAGGAGGGGGAGGAGGGCGCGCGCGCGCACACCTGTCCTGGACAGCGGCGCGAGCCGAGCGGCGCCTCACTCGGGCTCTGCCGGCTGTGGAGGAAGGAGGGCGGGCTGGCAGGCGGGGGCGGGACGCCGAGGGGAGGAGGAGGAGGCGGCTCGGATGGCTGGCTCGGCTCTCCCTCGTTCTCCCTCCCGCGGGCAAGTCCGACTCACACCCTGCTTCTCCCGCTCACTCACAGCCCCCTTGGCTCTCCCTCCTCCTCCTCCTTCCCCTGCGGGATCCGCTCGCCGCCGCCGCAGACGGCAAGTCGTGGCAGCCAGACGTCGGCGCGTAACCCGGCGCTCCGTGCGTGACTCCGAGCGACGTCAGCGCGCGCTCCGCGTTACCCACCATCTCTCCCCCATCCTCCCCCCGTGGCTCGCGCCCTCCGCCCTCGCGTTCCTCCGTTTCAGTTGCCGCGGCGGCGGGCACGGAGCGCGCTCCCTCCGCCCCCCTCTTGCGCGTGCGCGCGCCTTCTCCGCCGTTGGCGCGTCAACAGCCCACGGCCCAGGCCTTGAGGCGCGTCTGAGGAGGGGGCTGCCTGTGGCCTCTTTGCCCGCACTTCCTCCACTCACCGCCCGTGGCGCCCCTAGGAGGATTTACCCTCGTTGGGCTTTGAAGGCTGGAGCTAGGCTCAGGCGGGGCTAGAACCCCGTAGGGCCTGCATCAACTCCAACTTAGGGCCCTAAGCGTCGTTACCGGTGCAGCTACCACCCTGTCACCCTCTCCCCCCGCCCTCGTTCCGCCCGCAAGTCTCAGGAGGCAATAGGCCTTTCATCTCCCGGGAGGGTCTCACCTTGGCCTTCAGACGCCCGCGGAGAGGTCTTGAAGGGCAGAATTAGCATAAAGAAGAAAGGCGAGACCACGTTCAGGCTTTAGCCCCAGGAATCCTTGACAGGAAGCGTGGGGCTGCTGCCCAGCCTCCCACGCAGTGTAGGTGAAACTGGGCCTCTTTGAGGGACTGTGACTAAGGACAAAACCCTGATAAATATTATTTATGCGTCCTTGGTCTGAGAGGGAGAAAGTGTAAGAGACGAGTTAATTTTCATAAATTGCTACGCAAGGGCGAAATGCAGAACTATAAAATGTTCTTTAAGAGTTTTCTTGAAATCTTAGCAAGTTTGACAAGATTTTTGGTGCACGGTAACTTTTTTCCTCACTTTGTATGCTGTCACATCTCCCTGTGACATTGCCTACGTGGAAGATGGATCAATTAAAAATTATCAGCTGCAAATAAAGAAAGCTGCCGTACCATCTTTATAGTTATTTAAATAGGTCTCAGAGAAGTCAATCTGTAGCTTAGGAAAATTTAGTCACTGTCCTTACTTATTTAACTGAGTATATTTTATTTTGAAGTTACCTTGCAATACACAGTAAAACACCCTTTTAATAGGCAACATTAGACTTTTAAACTCACTAATTTATTATAGGACCAGACCTTTTTTTTAAGGAAGCTTATCTAGTTAAGCCTCTGAGGCAAGTAGGAGTGAGATGAAATTAACCGCATTTTATAGATGATAAAATCGAGTTACAAAAATATAAGTCGGTTGTTGGGAGTTGCAAAGAGTCTGTCACCAATAGAGGGAAACACCTTAGGTATATTATTGCTTACTTTATCCACTAAGCCAGAAATCCTTCAATTGTTTACTTCCGGGTATCTTTGGATCCCCCCCCCACCATGTATTATAGGCAGTGCCTAATGTCTGAGAGAAATAAATTTAGGAGGTATTCCTGGAGACCCCAAGTCACAGAGGACTCTAAAAGGTTTGAGGTTAGAATTTTCTGCCCTAGGAAACTACAGCTGAGCAATAAGTTATTGTGAAACAATCAAATTCCATAGTAACAGCAAAATGTTTATTAATCCCTAGTTAGAGGTAAGAAAAATTTTGAGACAGGTTTAAGAATGATGGGTCATTCTTTTGAATTGCTTCTTTATTCACCTCATCTTTAGGTGGCAGCACTACTATATAAATATCTTTAAAACTACAGTCTTTGGCAACTTGATATCCTAGAAGAGTGTTTTGTCCTAAATGCATCCAACTCTATTGTGGAGATCAGAAATATGAAATCATCCCTGAGAATTAGAATACTTAGGAGGTTCTAGAGGAGGAAGAACAGAAAGGCTTTCAAAAGAGGTTAATACATGGAGTTACTGAAAGAAAATATTCGAAAGTTTTTAAAAAGTTTTTTCTTTTTTTTTCTAGCTGTATGAGGAGCAAGTAGCATCTTTACTCTAAACCTGATCTTGTATTGAACCAGCACAAAATATTACCTTCCAAAGCAAACCACACTTTCTTAATACTGCATATTAAGAATATACAAGTTTAAACTTGCTAGTTGTATTGTTGCCAGTATTCTAACCACAATTTTATTTTATTTTTTACGTAAGTTCTATGCTCAACATGGGCTTTGAACTCATGACCCCCAAATTTAGAGTTGCGTGTTCTACCGACTGAGCCAGCCAGGCACCCCGAACTACAATTTTAAAATTGGGGTGCAGTTTTCTTCACTAAACTGGATCAAGCTTGTGAGGATCCCGAATAACACCTTGTTGTTGACCCTTGTGGAAGAGAAGAACTCTTCTTGGCTCCTTTCCTCCCTTCCTAAATTGTTCATATACAAACTAAACCACCATTACTCAAACTCAGAGAAGTGATAATACAAGCTAAACTATATATAAACTGATAGCAACTTACAGATATTCTATATCTTAATTTCTGCCACAATGTTTGAGGGTAATAAATTGTGATGTATGGGGGGCTATTTGGATCAAGTATTCTCTAAGTAGAACTTTGTCATAATTAATTTTGTATATTTACAGTAATTCTTCCTGTACCCCGTTATCCAAGCAACCAAACAAAATTGAATTTACATGCATTTCAAAATAGACTATCTTAGATTTACAGTATAAACAATATTACCAAAGAATGTAGAAGTATGACCATCAGGAGTGGGAAATCAAATTATTTCTGGGAGAGGATGAAGTGTTAATAAAGTCTAGTTCTTGATGACAGCTTCCATCTTTCTCAGGTCAAACTTGGAGAAAGAGTCTCAAGCAAATTGGTAAAGCTCAAACTCAGCAGTATTATGTTAAGATTTTTAAGCTCTCTGGTGCCAGCAAATCATGCAGCCTGGGGGCCTTTGCTCCAAACTTCTGCCAACTCCATTTTGGCAGTAAACTGTTCTGTTGAACAAAGTTTGCACGTGTTTGGGGTGTGAAGTGGTTCCTCAGGCATTTATCTGGTTTTTTTCCAGTTTGGGGACTTGAAGACAAGAGTCAGAAGCATGAGACTTGTATAGTTCATATGTGCCCTGGCAGACTATGTTAGTGATCTTGAATTTCCACCTAAACAAGGGCAGCTTTTTCTTTGTTGGTGTAGGATTTATTGAAGTGGACCGCTTAGTTTACTCCTTAAATGCTGACATGATATTGAACCAGTTCTCAAAAGCAGGTAGGCAGAACCCCCTCTGCTGAGGGTACAGAGCTGTGGCAAATCACTCCTCATCCTCCTACCTACATTACCACCTCACACCACTTGAGAGCAAAGAGGCCAGTAATTATTTAAACTTGATTTCACTGTCATATATAACTATGAGCCACTGATCTTTTTTGGTATTAGTTGTCTGGTTTTATCTTTTTTACCTACTTTTTCCCATCCTGGAGTCGTTGGTTAACAGCACTTGGTCCAGTTTTATGTGCTAATTTGTGTCATTTCTGGGGGTCCCTCTTCCTGTGGGAAGAAACATATACATTCTCGATTTCTTTTGTTTTTTCAAATAATCCTTGTAGAAAATCCTTGCATAATCCAGGGTAACCTTTTGAAAGCCATTAAACTACTATTGGAATATTTTCTTCTTTTTTTTTTTCTTCTTCCTGGTTTAGGAGTAATGGAAAGGAAAAAGTACAAAAGTAAAAGTTACAGATGTTGAAATGATACTATTATTTTTAACCATGATCAATGGAATGTCAATTTGTAAGATACAGTATGGTCACTTGAAAATGGTAGTTATTTTTGATACTTTTGCCAAGAGTGTGACCTAAATTCCTATTTGTACCTTTCCCAAGTCAAAACTGACCTATGGACAAGGTTAGAAAGGAAGAAGAAACCTGGGCCTTTCCAAAGAGTGAATCTATCTGGACTGAAAGTACTACTGAATGTTGTTGCACATTTTATGGTGACCCCAAAACTCTTCTGTTTACTTACTTTAAAATAGAAATTTGTTGTAATTTTACTACCTGGAGCATACGTAGGTGGGTGTGTACATACAACCAGATTGCTCTGCCCTCTGAAGGTAATTTAGACCATTTTTATAACCAAATGCAGTAGCACTTTGCAATTAGATGATCAGTTGGTTTCTTTCAGTGGTGAGTGAAATATGTCAGGGGAAAAATCAAGATAATCCTCCACGGGAAAAATACAAAGTAAGTTCTTTCTTTAATATTTTGTGCTCTATTTTTAAGTATTTTTATTTTTATCTTTAAGTATACTTTTAGGTATACTTGTCTAAATACTGAAAACTTACTATACTTATCTTTATAATTAATTTATTATTAAATAATTATTGTACTTATCTTTAAGTATACTTTAAGTATACTTTTTCTTCTTATCTAAATACTGAAAATTAATTATTAAATGTAAATGTAATATAAGTGTAATGATTAGTTTTTACTTCCTAGATAACAAATCAATATTTACTTGGTAAGTATATGTATAGAGAAGAAATTTTTTTTATTTATTTACTTTTAAAGTTTATTCTTTTTAGTAATCTCTACACCGTGGGGCTCAAACTCACAACCCCAAGATCAAGAGTCACACTCTCTTCCAAAGGAGCCAGCCAGGCACCCCGAGAAGAAATGTTTTTAAATTACTATTCTGGAATTATATTAATATATATATATTACCATAAACTTATTACAGCTGATGTTTAGATGGCATTTTATTTATTTATTTATTTTGCCTTGAATTTCCTTTTGGAAAGTTAAGTATTACCTGCTGTATCAGAACTAGTTCTCAGAACCCATCACTGTTTATCAGTCAGGCTTATTTTCTTAAATCATTTATTGAACAATATC